GTTTCAAACAGTGGCAGAGCTCCATTCTCTCTACAAATTTTTCTGGCTTTGCCACTACAAACCAAGCTGAGTTTTGAAATAGGCCAGATCAAAGCTACTGATCTCTATGTGATCTAATATTATTTTCCCTAGTATAACTTGAAACATAAGATGACGCCACAAGTTTATAATTTTGCGGAGATATGGGTTATTCCTTCCGACATAGTCACTTACACTCACATAGAACAAATTCATTTTAATTCCATTTATCACATCATTCTCATCTTCTTGTAGTACTGTGTGTACAAATTATGTCAATGAGTGTTCAGCATGTAATTAAAGTAAACTTCAATTATGTCAAATAGTACGGATATATTTAATAATATTTTGATATAATCTAGTATTTCTTTTTATATGAGAAATATTTTTGCTGATTTATCTTTCTGTTTCGCACATGAACTTGTCATTATATGATCTTCATGAAATTAAATTAAGTAAATGACTGAAACTAGAATCATGCATTTTTCTCCGTGTCAAATCGTTGTTAATTTTAAGCCGGAACTATGTATGTTATATAGATTCTAATGAGCTATGAATATCTTGAAAATAGTTCGAACTAATAATTCATTACTGCCAAGATACTTTATTTTTTGAGCAGAATGTTGTAGTCTTTCTCAGGAAAACTGACTTTCGAATTTCGACTGGAGATAAGCCTTAATGAAAAAAATTTATTGTAGAAGTTTCAGATCTTTTGATTTCTTCTATTCTAAGGATACGACTATGATAAGAGCATGTTTTTCACGCCGTTCATATAAAGTGATTAATCCTGATGTTCTTATTTCAGAATATACGCAATTAGAAAATCTGAAATTTTCACAATAAACTTCCATTGTTAAGGTCTATCTCATGTCACAATACGGAAATTAGCTTTCGTAAGGGGAACTACAACATTCTGCTATAAAATATATTAGCTTGGCAGCAATAAGGTATTAGTCTGTACTCTTGTCAATGTATTCATAGTTCATTAAAACCTACATGATGTACATAATCTTGACTCAAAAAATTAATTTGACACTTTGAAACCTATCCTGTTACCAGTATGTCACAGGAGGTTTTGGGTATCAAAGTAATTATAGGCACTTTCAAGTACGTAAGTGGTACTTTGGCAGGTACCCTGCTACACAATGCATAGTAACTGGATACTTGAAGATACTGATCAGATACTCAATTGAGTACTATTGTACAGTATTTCTAAATACCCTGGTATTAAAATTTCAGTATGTTCAGGATCGAGCCTGACGTTTCACTTTTTGGATGTTTTTCTCTCAAAGCGATTCATTATATTGTTTTCGGTTTTATTGTATTTAATTTTTTCAAATCCGAAAACTCAACAAGTCAAATGTCGAGATCTGACCGAACTTGAGTTGGTCGAGTATCCATGAGACCACCTCAAGGCAGTCCGCTCTTAATTTACTATCAAGATCGGAAAGTTCTCGGCTAAGAAATAGTCAAGAAATAATCTAGAAAAAATTAGTATGAAAACAGATTAATTTCTTCTGTTTTGCTCAGTTGTTCATACGAAACCGGGTGTGAAAAAGAAAACGGTGAATGAACAGTTGTTACGCAGAACTCGACAAATGTAGAGTATCCTGTAGAGTTTTCCTCAGTAAAATTACAGATGCGGGTATCCATAGCAGTACTTGCTCAGTGAGCGTAGTTTTATAGGTACCCCTTGCAGTGCCTACATCGGTATAATTACTGAGAATTTTCGAAGTATTCATATTAGGTACTCTGCTGAGGCTTTCTCAGTACATGGGTATCCTGAACTCAATGCTTTCTCTAGGGTACCCTCATTAGTGGATTTGGAAAAAAAACAGAAGCATCAATCAGCCTGGTTTGCTCGATTGAGCAGAACAGAAAAAATGACCGGTAAACTTACAGCTAGATCTTGATATCCATTTTCTTTAGCATTTTTATTCAATAAATCAATATAAGGTAAATAAACTGGACGAATTTTATTTCCACATTCATCATGCCAACCTTTCCATGCCCATAATAAACGATCATAATCTTTTTCAATTTGCATTAATCGTTCTAAATATGGTGCAAGTGGATAACATTTCTTCTTATCCTTTAATTCACAAACTTTTGTTGTTGAATAAATATATTCTAATTGACTCTGTAATTTCGAAGTTCTTTTTACATCATCATCATTATTACTAGTTATACTTGATGCTAAACGACCAAATATACGTTTTAAATCATCATTTTCTGAATATTTCATATATTCATTAAATTTTTTTGCTATTGGTAATATTAAACGACCAAATGGCGATTGAATAAGATTTTGAGCAGTTATTGCTTTTTGATTTTCTTCAGTTATATTTGTCATATAATTCCAATGGAGATGAATATCTATCTAAATATACAGAATAAAAACAAATAATAAATTAATGAAAATATATTTCTTATCTTACTTGGTTATATCGTTCTGCTATAAGAAGATACCATTTTAACCATTTCTTAGCAACATATTCATCTGAATAATCATTAATAACTGGCATTTTTTTAATATCTTCTTCATTTAATTTATTCCATAATTCAACATTAACATGATCATTAGGATCAACTTCAATTTCATCATTATTATTTTCTATATTATGATTAATTGATATTGGTTCTTTGAATTCATATGTAAAATATTTATGCAAACTATTAATAATAATACTTTCGAATTGTTGTTGATTATAATGATTTTGTTTTCGATTTGATATTGAGAATTGAAATGAAGAAATAAGTAAAATAATAATAATCAAAAAATTCTTCATTTTTTTCTTTGGTCAAAATCTAAAAGAATAATTTTTCAAAAAAAAAACAAATAATATTTTGACTGGTTTTTTTTGCATCATTGCAATCATACATACATATTGTTATGAAAGACATTTTACATTCACTATGTATCTTTGTTTTCATTGTATACAATCCTATAGAATGGAGAGAAAATGAAAAACGAAGTAAATATCAAAATGTATATGATGTATTTCAAGCAATGTGCTATTTTTGTTTTTGCCTATCGCCAAACAATAATAGAAACCGTTGTATTTTTTTTTGTGTTTACTGCTTGTTGTTGATGAACTTGAAGTCAAATTAGTTTTATCATGTTTAATTTTTCCATTACCTATTTGATATAAATATATACAATCATTCTTTGTATGACAATGGTTATACTTGAATTTTTTATTCTCGTCCTCGTCTTATTCATTGTACACAGCTACGCATTTCAGGAGAATAAGATCCGCTACTCCTCGCTTTCGATCGACCTCCGTAGTTTTTTTCTCTCTCTGGTCCTATACTTTTTTCTTTCTGTACATAGACAGAATAAGAATATTATTCACATGTATCATCACCTATCAACATACTATGCTTCAAGCTGATGCCTGGATTATATAGTGCAATGAATGATTGAGGTTGTTTTTTTTTTATCGCCATACTTGTTAGGTTTCTTATACAGAAAAAAAAAACGTTTTGTTTAATATTTTCGCTGCTGTCTTTGTTGTGATACAACGAAAATTAGCTTATAGGTAAACAATGAGTGATCCTTACCCAACTATATTAATATGAACTTCGAACACTGAGGACGATGTTTTAAATAGCATATTGTGTTACGTTATAGTTCATTAAAACTTCTTTAAAAAATAGTAATCAATTTTAGGATTTTAATTATCATGTTTCTTCGGTTCATATCAATATTATTAACATAAAGAATGTCATCGGATAATATACAACTTAATACATCGTCCTAAGTATTCGAAGTTCATATAGATATAAATTGGGTAGGGATCACTCTTTGTTTATCTATAAACTAGTTTTCATTGAAACCTATAAATTATAGAACACTCTTTCTATGATATCCTATTATTGTGGTAAAGTTTAATTCCAAGAGTACCAAAGAGGAGTGGTTAAATAGAAGATGAATCCACATTCCACACTCACATCTTCAAATTTTGCTAAATTTTCTTTGCATATTCGAATCTGTTCAACTCGTTGAGATCTGATTAACTGTTTGGAAACAGAGCATGCAGTAATTTTTTTTTAAACTGCAAATGATCGGAAACAATTCACTGTACAGCACTGTGGCTCAGATCACTTTGCACTTGTAATTGGTTATTTGTACTATAAGGGTCATCATTAATAAGGTCGCGAACTTATTCGATATCCTCAAGTATTTTCTCGACTACAGGTCTGTCAGATCATGTTTCGTCTTCAATTTTTTTTCCGATCTTCACGAAACCATTTTGATCATCTTTGAACAGTCCTGAGAGGCTGAGCCTGATCGCCGAAAACAGAGTATAAGTCATCATAGATGATTGTTGATTCAATATGCAGTACAGTACACACTTTGATATAGAAATGAAAATATTTTTTATCCATATTCAAAATATAAATGAACAGGTTTGAATGTCTTATAAACTTGTTTAAAACACTAGACTATATTGTCTTAGACGTAAAATTGTTTTTGTGTTCTTTTTTTCGTTTCTCTTTGATCTGCTTCCATCTGCACTGATAGCCGGTCGTCTTTATACACATAAAGACATGTGTCTTGTTTATTTTTTGTATCTATGTAGTTAGTTATTTTGTATTCTCCATGGCTATCAAATCTGAGGTATAGCTCATCGAAGCAGCGCCACTTTCAACGTATTGTACCGCAGGCTTGGCAATCATGATATTCTCAAGAAGAAAAGTTATACACGTTAACAGTAAACTTTAACACATTGAAACGTTGCTATTATAACATCATCTGAAGTATGATAAAGTATTGTAGAATTACAGAGCTAGCTTTGGGCTATTAGTATATACAGGAAGAAAATTTCCTTCAGCCTTCTATAAGATTTTATAGTGTTGACATCACTTCTTTTGATATTGCATAAGTATATCGAAAATAAAATAATTTCAAAAAAACCATTTTTCATGTTACGCACTACGAATGGATCAAAAATGATCCAAGTTATGATGAAAAATATTGCTTACGCATCTGTAGTCAAGAAGTGTATAAAAATTGCCTATGTTACATGTTTTTTTGCACTACCATCGATATACTACAGTAGATGGTTTTTGAACATTCTCCTTATGAATGAGCATAGTATGTTAATAGACGATGATACATGTGAATAATATTCTTATTCTGTCTATGTACAGAAAGAAAAAAGTATAGGAGCAGAGAGAGAAAAAAACTACGGAGGTCGATCGAAAGCGAGGAGTAGCGGATCTTATTCTCCTGACATGCGTAGCTGTGTGCAACGATTAAGACGAGAACGAGAATAAAAAATTCAAGTATAACCATTGTCATACAAAGAATGATTGTATATATTTATATCAAATAGGTAATGGAAAAATTAAACATGATAAAACTAATTTGAATTCAAGCTCATCGGCAACAAGCAGTAAGCACAAAAAAATATATATGTCAGGCAAATTTGAGATTTAAGTAAAGTTAAACAAAGCTATTAAAAGACTTAAAATTTTAAAAAAGTGGAAATAATATAAGAATAAATAATTGATTCTATACATTTAAATTAAATTATCTTCAACTTCAATTGAAATTTTACTAAGTTTAGGAAGATGTAGAGTTTGCCACCGTATTCTATTGAAATTTAATTGATTTTTAGAAATTTTTAGAATTCGTCTGTATAGTCTGTTGAAATCTGGTTGAGTTTTAAAAGGCGAGAAGTTCAAAAGATTAGACGATATATGTTGTTTGAATAGAAGTCAGTTTTAGTTGTTCAATACAGTTATTGATATTTTTTCACTCTTTTTATAATTCACTGTCGTAGAGTTTTTTATATCAACTATTTATTTTGATTTTGATCTTTAGTAACAAGATCTGTTTATTCATAGAGAATTCGATAAATAGATTTATGTGAACATTGTCTTTCTTATGATTCAATATAAAATGCTATCAACAACAACTGTGATAAATATTAATCTTTCGGAAAGTCATTTATATATGACTACCGTAAGAATAGCAGATAGCATATAATGAATCACATATATAATTTAATTATCAATCAGTAATAGGCCTGAAACATGTTTCTATGGATTGATAGAGTTCTTTTATTGATAAGTAGCACAATATTTACATCTATACTTTGATCATTCAATCAAAAAACAGCTATTCTAGTTATGCTAGCAGAAAACGTTCTACACGACCAAAAAAAAAGAAAAAAGAAGAAGAAAACAAAGAGAAAGATTAAGATTATGTTTATTTAAATCTTTTTTCACATGGTTTACTGGTTTTTCTTTTCTTATCTCTGGATGCAGTTTATTTTGTTTTGTTCTGTTGTATCGCTTACAATTTGCTCTCTTGTTTTGTGTCTCTTGCTTGTTACTGTTTTGAATTGTTAAAATTCCTATATGCTTTTTTTCTCTCTCTCTCTCTCTCTCTCTCTCTCTCTCTCTCTCTCTCTACCTCTTTTTGATGACCTCCCCATACCCTCATGAGATTAATCATATCTGACAAAGGGATACTATAGAATAAGTGAATTTCTCCGCCTCCTTGCTACGGCTTAATGCTTAAATATCATATTCTTTTTTTCTCCTATCTATCACCATGTAAGCACTTCCGAGTGTTACATTAAATAAAGCGAATTTAAAAAAAAAAAAATCTTTTTTCACATCTATGTTTATATACTAGAAGGGTAAAGTTCTGTTTATTCTATATGTTTAGAATGTTAATGTAAAAGATAGATGTTTAAATATTCAAAAACGAACTTGTTGGCAATATTGCTAATATTGGTTTTTGTAATATTTTCTTTTTCGATATGAAAGACAAAGTATTATAAAGATTTTTAAAAGACGTCGATTATACTTCTTATAGTTCATCGATCAACTATTTAGGCATTTATCGCATCATACATCAACCGTGTTGTCGAAAAAAAAAAAGAAAATTTGTGAACGAATAACTTTTTAATCTCTTATGATACTGGAGCAAAAAAGTGTAGCTGTTTAATGAAATATTCAGCTACTCCTGTATTTTAACTGATATATTTCGAGCAAGGGCTAAAAAAGAAAAAAAAATTCGTCAACTAATATCCTTTTGATCTCAAACAATATTGATGAATTAAGCATATCTGTTCTATGATTGTTCAGCTAGTCATTTATTGTAACTGATATATTTCGAGCAAGGGCCGAAATAAAAAAGAAAATTCGTCAACTAATAACCTTTTAATTTTTAACAACACTAAAGAAATAAGCGTAGTTTTTTTAATAAATACTCAGGTACTCATTCACTCTAATTGTTTTATTTCGAACAAGAATCATTTCAAGCATTGAATATATCTTTTACCTACTTATAATAAGTTATCAAATCAATTAAGATATATATGAAAATATTTAAATAAGTACAATTATTTTTATGTAGCGATAGACTTTCAATTGCTGGCTATAAAAAGAAGTCCAACACGAAATTTTGTTAGAAGTGAATTAGGTATTTAAATCATATAATAGTTGTATACATTTTTTTTTCCAACTAGCTCTTTTAAACAGTTATCATAATGTTTAAATTGCGACATGAAGTACTGCTGTAAACGAAAAGTTGTTACAAAATAACTAACTACTTAATCATCAAGTAGCTGTATATTATTCGAAAAAGCATTCCTTTTTGAGAAGCTACATTTTCAACATGCGTATGTTTCTAAACATTCTTCATCCCTTCATATCGTAGCATCGGTTAATCAATTTTTGCATCATATAGTAAAGTTTTCAAATCAGTATTTTGTACAACAAAAGAAATGCAAAACCAAGATGTAAAACGTGAATCGAAATCTGCTAAACATTTATTCGTAATGCGACGAAGAATAATCTCTTCATTCATGGGTTGCATGATTACTATCTTTCCTCAAAATCTACTATTTAAAGATTTAAGTTATTTACTTGCTTGTTCATAAAATTGTTTTCGAGATTCAACTTCCGATGTCAAATGAGAAGTTATCACTATACTTATAATACGATTAAATACGTGAAATAAATGTTCTGCTTTTCTATTTAAAGTGTGTGTAAACGAATAATGGTTTGTATTATTGTTTGGTGAAAGGCAAAAACAAAAATAGCACATTGGTTGAAATACATCATATACATTTTGATATTTACGTCGTATTCTTTTTCTCTCCATTCTATAGGACTGTATACAATGAAAAAAAAAGACACATAGTGAATGTAAAATGTCTTTCATAACAATATGTATGTATGATTGCAATGATGCAGAAAAAAACAGTCAAAATATTATTTGTTTTTTTTTGAAAAATTATTCTTTTAGATTTTGACCAAAGAAAAAAATGAAGAATTTTTTGATTATTATTATTTTACTTATTTCTTCATTTCAATTCTCAATATCAAATCGAAAACAAAATCATTATAATGGACAAGAATTCGAAGATATTATTATTGATATTTTGCATAAATATTTTACATATGAATTTGAAGAGCCAATATCAATTAATCATAATATAGAAAATAATAATGATGAAATTGAAGTTGATCCTAATGATCATGTTAATGTTGAATTATGGAATAAATTAAATGAAGAAGATATTAAAAAAATGTCGGTTATTAATGATTATTCAAATGAATATGTTGCTAAGAAATGGTTAAAATGGTATCTTCCTATAGCACAACGATATAGTCAAGTAAGATAAGAAATATATTTTCATTAATTTATTATTTGTTTTTATTCTGTATATTTAGGTAGGTGCTCATGTCCATTGGAATTATATGACAAACATAACTGAAGAAAATCAAAAAGCAATGACTGCTCAAAATCTTATTCGATCACCATTTAGTCGTTCAGTATTACCAATAGCAAAAAAATTTAATGAATATATGAAATATTCAGAAAATGATGATTTAAAACGTACATTTGGTCGTTTAGCATCAAGTATAACTAGTAATAATGATGATGATGTAAAAAGAACTTCGAAATTAGATAGTCAATTAGAAGATATTTATTCAACAACAAAAGTTTGTGAATTAAAGGATAAGAAGAAATGTTATCCACTTGCACCATATTTAGAACGATTAATGCAAATTGAAAAAGATTATGATCGTTTATTATGGGCATGGAAAGGTTGGCATGATGAATGTGGAAATAAAATTCGTCCAATTTATTTACCTTATATTGATTTATTGAATAAACATGCTAAAGAAAATGGATATCAAGATCTAGCTGTAAGTTTACAGGTCATTTTTTTCCTGGTCTGGTCAATCGAGCAAACCAGGCTGATTGATGCTGCCGTTTTTTTTTAAATCCACTAATGAGGGGTAGGTTTCTAAGTGTGAAACTGATTTTTTGAGTCAAGATTATGTACATCATGTAGGTTTTAATGAACTATGAATACATTGACAAGAGTGCAGACTAATAGCTTATTGCTGCCAAGCTACTATGTTTTATAGCAGAACGTTGTAGTTCCCCTTAGGAAAGCTAATTTTCGAATTTCGACTTGAGATAGGCCTTAACAATGGAAGTGTATTGTGAAAATTTCAGATTTTTTAATTGGGTATATTCTGAAATAAGAACATCAGAATTAGTCACTTTATATGAACGGCGTGAAAAATATGCTTTTATCATAGCCGTATCCTTAGAATAGAAGAAATTAAAAGGTCTGAAACTTTACAATAAACTTCCTTTATTAAGGCCTGTCTCAAGTCGAAATTCGAAGCTCAGTGTTCTTGACGCTTCTGGGAGGGCCACGACATTCTGACAAAGAATACAGTATCTTGGCAATAACGAACTATTCTCAGGATATTCATAGCTCATTAGAACCTATTTAATGCACATAGTTTTCACTCAAAAAGTAAGTTGACACTGAGAACAGTTCTCTCGTAAATTCTATAACCTTATTATAATGTATCATTCTACTTTCAGTCAGTTACTTAAGGACCTCCTGAAAAAGTCACTTTTCGTCAAAATTATTGAAATTCAAATAAATGCAGGAAAAGATAGTCCGTGATCTGAGCTCTTATAAACGACAAAAACCTTTACTTGGCATCTTTTTTTTTCCAAAAATTTTTGAAGATTTCTATCATCCCCTATTCGAAAAACAAGCTGTTTTTGAAAAAACTGAAAGCTTTGTCGATAGGTTGTCGATCAGATCTCCACGAATTCTTGAAGGAGTTTCATTGTAGCCAATAGTTTTTATTTTGTTTGAAAGAGTATGGAAAGCTGCAGTGCCTATGAGAGCCAGTTTTTTTTATTAAGCTTTGGTTCTATTATATATACGATCCTTTATATAATTAGAGTACCATTTTTGGAGAGTTATTTTTGTACCATTGAACTTTCGATCTCCTTTTTCCCTTAAAAAGTAAGAGTTTAAAACAAAAATGGCTCTCACAGGCACTGCAGTTTTCCACGCTCTTTCAAACAAAAAAAAACTATTAAATGCATAAACTGAAGACTACAAAGAAATTATTTTAGAGACGCAATTAGCTATTTTTTGACCAATATCTCCGTCAAATGTCATGATACAGTGCTGAAAATTTTACCATAGCATTCTCACACCAACCTCAACATATCCTGAAAATTTCATGTCACTCGAACGTTTCTGGCCTGAGATCAATTTTTGAGGGCGGAGCCTTAATTTAATTTGATGAAGATCAAATAATGACAAGTTGTTGTACGAAACAGAAAGATAAATCAGCAAAAATATTTCTCAAACAAAAAGAAAACATTAAATTTTATCGAAATATTTTTAAATATATCAGTACTATTTGACATAATTTGTACACGCAGTACTGCAAGAAGATGAAAATGCTGTTATAAATGGAATTAAAATGAATTTGTTCTATGTGAGTGTAAGTGACTATGTCGGAAGGAATAACCCATATCTCCGCAAAATTTTAAACTTGTGGCGCCATCTTATGTTTCAAGTTATACTAGGGAAAATAATATTAGATCACAGAGACCAACAGCTTTGACCTGACCTATTTCAAAACTCAGCTTGGTCTGTAGTGGTGGAGTCGGAGAAATTTGTAGAGAGAATGGAGCTCTATCCCTGTTTGAAACTGAAAAGCAAGTCTTTTCTTTGTCTGTAATATAGAACTGTGACATTTCTAGAGGAAGTTCAAAGGTTTATGCAGAGAGCTCAGTTAAGACTGATCTGCCAAGATGACAGCTCTAATAGAAATATAGAAATAAAAAGCTGTTAGAACAATTCCTGCGGGATTAAAAAGTTTGTTTCTAATAATAATTATTTATCTATTATTTTATTTTTTTGTTAGC